TCCTTTCTGAAAGTCTTAAGTCCACTAGCCCAAGTGAGATATTTCATACAGATTACTTAACTCAATGTTAAAATATTTTCAATATAAAAAAACTTTGTTTTCTAAAATTTGAAAATTAAAACAAAACTCACATTGAATTAAAATTTTTACAAGACTAACAAATTGTGAGACATTCTACAATAAATTATAATGACAATACTAAAAACGCTACAAATTGACAGGAGAGTAGTTCAAAACTACAACCTTTGTTACTAATGTAAGCTGCAAGAGATTGCTATACATTCAATAAGTATTACCTGATGTTTCTTCATTAAATTGAGATCTTTCCTTTCAAGTCTACACAATGTGATTATCTAACATTCTAAGTTACTTTTCCAACAATCGCTATTGTAGTTTGGATTAAATGATAACACAAAGAATCCATTCTTTATTTTTCTTTGCTTTTGACTTGTTAATTGTATTAAGTGGCTCAGAGCAGTAACTTGTTAGTGGAATTGAAAATTATTGATCTTGATCTAAATACCCCCACTGCAGCAAAACTGCAGGGCGCATTCAGTGGCAGATCTAGAACGGGGGCCTGAGGGGTTTGGGGGTACCCCCCCAAAATAAATTTGTGTAAAACTAAGTCTCCAAAATGGAATTTTATATTATTTCTTTGTTCAAAGTTAGTGTGACAAATTTTATTTTACGCAATGTGTATGCACCCCCCGAATTACATGCAGTAAGGAAATATATATACAGGGTGTTTTTTTTTTAACTTGCATCTTTATTTATGTAAAAACCGCAGTAGATAGAAATATGCAGTTGGCGGGAATCATCTATTGACGTAGGGGGCACAATTTTTTTGAATTCAACGTTACATTCACATTCCCCCCCTTTCCCCCCCTGCCACCAACTTAATTTTTTTAAATAGCAAGGTACCCCTTGTGACATATCAAATAAAAGAGCATGAAAAAAGAAAATGTTTGATGGAAAAAAAATTGAAAATCGGTTCATAAATTTGTGAGATATTCCCCCCTCCCCCCCCCCCCCCCGGAACTTAATTTAGCTGACCATGGTAATAGCTTATTCCCTATATGGGTTTAATCCCAAATTTAAAATGTATCAAACAATATAGTTTCATTACCAATTTGACTACTTGGATACTTACTTGGATACTTGGAGAATTCCCACTGGTATCGCATCAGCGACGTGGTCGTCAGGTTTTTATACATTTCTTCATATATATTTATATAGATGGATTCATTTCCTCTTCAAGATTGTACATGGCCTAGACATATATCTCATCAACACTGTAGTAGGCCACTTGACTTAAGAATGTTTTTAGCAGGTTCTTGAATTTGTTGACAGAGGGCTCTTGTGTGATGTACTGAGGCAATTTATTGTAAATTTTTATACTATTGAAGTAAGGGCTCTTGCTTGCAAGGGTGGAATTTACTTGAGGTACATGTGGATTTGTTGCTCTTCTTGTATTGTAATTGTGGACCATGCTGTTTGTTACAAAAATATTGGGGTTCTTCTTAACAAGCAATGCGGATTCCAATATAAAGAGGGACGGAAGTGTGAGGATGTTCAGTTCTTGGAACAAAGGTTTACAGTGTGTCCGTCTATGGACTCCACATATTCTTCTAATTGCACGCTTTTGAAGGATGAAAATGCGTTTTGCCTCACTACAACCACCCCAAAATACCAAACCATATGAGATTATGCTATGAAAACAGCCATAATAAACCTTAAGGAGAATCTCGATGTCAACCAGCTTTTGAAGTCTAAACAGCAGGTAGGTGACAGATGACAGTCTGGGCGCTATTGCATCGACATGTGTTCCCCAATTAAGGTTCTCCGTAATGTGTAGGCCCAAGTATTTGGTTTCACTACAGGTTTCAAGTAGCACCCCGTCCAAGGTCAATATTGGAGGTGGTTCAGGCTTCTTCCTGTTATAAAATTCCATTAATTTAGTTTTACTAGAATTAAGGACCAGATGATTTTTGCTACACCAAGTTGACATTTCAAGCAAGCCAGTTTGGGCGTTTTCAATCGTGATGTTCCGATTTGGGCTTGGGACTAGGTGACAGGCGTCATCGGCAAAAAGCCATAAATTTCCAGATGATATGGAGCCAGGCAAGTCATTCACGTATAACAGGAATAGGATGGGCCCAAGGTTTGAACCCTGGGGGACACCGATGTTCAGAGCTGGTGATGGAGACGATTTATATGTCCGAAGGATGTTGTCAGGGCCTCTGTGCTTCAAGGATACAATCATGTGCCGATCTTTAAGATACGATGAAATCCATCGCAGTGGGTTTCCAGAAATGCCAAGCGCTCGCAGCTTATCCAGAAGGATCCTGTGGTCAAGAAGATCAAAAGCCTTTGTCATGTCGTAAAAGAGACATAGTAAGCTGTCAGATATGTCAAGGTGGTTATACACTTCCTTTAAAAGGGCAAAAATGGCATCACAGGTAGACATGTTTTTTCTGAACCCAAATTGGTTATTTGACAAGATGTTATTTGTTTCAATAAAACTTAGCAATCTTTTAAGAAAAATAATCTCAAAGATTTTACCAAAACAAGGCTGGACAGAAATAGGCCGGTAGTTACTTGCGTTAAGAGGATCATTTTTCTTAAATACAGGGACAACCTTTGAAGTTTTCAACGAATCAGGAAAGCAACCAGTTTCAAACGACTTGTTAATAGAGCAGGCCAATGCTTCAAAGATGTTTTCATTGCAAAGTTTGAGAAGGCTGCATGGGACTTCATCAATGCCAGAACTTTTTTTTGATCCTATTAATAAGACGACTTCACGAACCTCAGACGCAGAAGTAGGAGACAGTACAAAGCGACTCGCTTCGAGATCAGTGGGCAACACAGGGGCTACATTATCTTTAGCCAACGTACATATTTCCTGGTGAAAAGATTTACAGAAATAGTCTACTATTGTCTGAGGATTTTTGACTTCCACGTCATCGATCATAAGAATCAGGTTTGATTGGGTCTGATACTTTTCATCGCACAGTGTACGGACCACTGCCCAAGATTCCTTGCTTGTGTTTTTGGAATTTAATATTTTGTTACCAAAAAAGGCCTTTTTTGTTTTGTTAACAAGTGCAGAGTGGTGGCGTTTAGCTGCGCGATAAGCATTTTTTCCATCGACAGAACAGTGAGGCGACCTAGTATTCCAGTACAGGTCCAAGAGTGCTTCATGCGACTGCGATACCTCATGACTGACCCAAGAAGGGCTATGTTCATTCTTTGTATTTGAAGTAGACACAGGGAAACTTACATTAAAAACATACATGAACGAATCGTAGAAATGGTCAAATAAATCATTAGAGGTGATATTTCTTAAATTAGGTTCTGGCATCCAAGCTTCATTGTTAGATAAAATTTTGAAGGCTTCAAAAGTCGAGGCTGTAAATTTCCTCTTCACTGTCTTATTTACATTTCCCTCTCCAAAACGTTCACACAACAAGTGTACTGATAACAAATGGTGGTCAGAAAAAAAAACAGGTTTGGCACTGGAGGCACGAAACATATGTGCAACACACGAGTCAACAATAAAATAGTCAAGCTGAGTTATACAATCAGGTGTTACTCTCGTTGGACCTTTAAATATAATGTTCAGGTTATTACATTCTAACAAATCCTGAAGCAGCTGACTTTCCCAGGATCTCTCAAGATTGTTTATATTTAAGTCAGCGCAAATAAGAAGCGGGATATTAAACTTATCTCTGAGGGTAGAAATCAACAAGTCAAAATGATCAATAAAATCAATCACATCAGCGCTGTTGGCAGTCCCAGGCCGATACAATACCACAACAATAATTTGGAACTTGTCTAGCTGCATTAGTCCCAAACAGAACTCAAATACACCTTCAGAACAAATGTCTTCGTCAATAGATAATGTCATCGGCTTAAATTTAAGCCTAGAGTCAGTTTTAAGCAACAGAGCAACTCCACCCCCTACTCGGTTAGGTCTAGAATATTCAGAAATGGTTTTGTATCCATTTACTTTAAAACAATTCAGCTTAGATTCATTAAGCCACGTTTCGGCAACACACAATACTTCAGGGTTCTCATTATGTAACAAAACTTCAAGGTCTTCTATCTTGTTAAAAATAGACCTAATATTTAAGAAATCAAACCTAAAACTAATATCACAGTTTTTTTCCGCCCCAAGACAATGTGGGTTGGGGCTTACGTCCCGTTTTTTGGACCATCAGAAGTCTTAGAAGTAGGCCTAGGCCTATCATGTTGTTCAAGGTTAGGCCTAGTACTGGTCCTGTGACTATTAGTTCTAGGAGTCAAAAATTTACATATAAGTATTCCCTCAGGCCAGAGATTGCTATCCAACAGCTTGTCAATAGAGTCAGAAGGTACACCTACCTTAAAAGAAGAGTAACCCTGGTACTTAGTGGGAAGTTGTTCACACTGGATTTGAGAGTGTTCAATAGGACACAAGTTCCTTATATACTCAACTAGGCTTTCAGGTTTCACACATGGGTCAAATCTTGATAAAAACACCCAGGATTTCCTCTGTGCCACAACAAGAGGTCCAGTTTGTTTGGCTTTGCCAATTATAGCTCGGTTTCGTTGCACTTTAGATTGAGGACGAACTGGATTTGACTTCTCTATAGTCTTGACTATAGAATGTCAAAACTTTTAGAGCATTAAATTACCTACCTGTTCGATCTATTGTAGTAATATTACAGCAGTTTCCTGCTGTGAAAAGTTAAGCAAGTATTTTGAAAAGAATGTCAAGCTGTTAACGAGGTGAGCTCGTATTTTCACAGAATTTTCATGCTGTGATAAAATGATACCACAATAATCAGACAGTAACCCATTGAATTTATTCTTAGTTTAGAGTTTGATTTTGTGACAGTACCTTTTTTGGGATATTTTCTCATCTAATCGTTATTTAAACTGATAATTTAATCATCATCGTTTTTTTTTACTAACTCTAATAAAGAAATTCTGCATTAGTTATAATGATATACACAACATACGTACAAAATATAATTTATTCCTAATATGTACAAAAATGATGACTTAGATTATGTTCGACCAGTTAGTAATCCTATGAGAGCTGCTTTTTCCTTATCCTTTTTCCGCACAATGTCTAGGCTTCTGTTTCTCCACATACTCTTACGTAGCTTGATAGGTCTACTTCCCACGTACCTCCCTGAAAACAGTAGTAAAATTATATAATTTGAAACACAAGTTGTTGCTCAGTATGAGGTTTTCCATGCATTATTTGTTGCTTTCCTGTTCCTCCCCGGGAGTGAGGACGCCAAAGAGAATAATGGGGTTCTTTAAATACAGGGTCAAACAAATGAACATGCTAAATCCAAGTATAAGACGGATCAATGACATTTGTGTAGCATTTCCCCTAATCCCTTCAGTACTGTATGCATTTACCTAAAATAGACAAACGTGCAGAAAATAATTTTCCTTTGTCTTTGAAGCAATCTTTGCCCCTCTCCTACTTCCACTTTATATTTCAATCATACCTTTAAATTGCAGTAAGGCACAGCTCTGTAAAGTAAAACTTTCTTACCCACAAGTTTTACATATATTTTTAATTACACAAGTCTTTTAACTATTTTCCAGTAACGGTTTGATTAATAAGTCTGTCCAGTTACACCATCGACTATTGCACTTAAAGGTTACACTTTTACAACTCTTTCCAAAGAGAATTAAATTTTAAAATTCACCTGTTTCAAACCATTACTGTATAAAACCAGCAATATTTTCAAAATTAAAATACACACAAGAGGAATGAGTAAAAATAACAGACAACACATTCCTCTTGGTATAGTCTTGTATAGCTTTTGAGTCATAAACAAGACATTAAAAAAAATACAATTAACCTATATGAAAATATTAAATTAAATAAATTTAATTTAATTTAAAAATTTAATAACTATACAAGAAGATTAGATTAAGTTCTTACTCCATCTAAATTAATCCCATCTTGTACTCTTTCTGCCAGGATAAAAGGCAAACAATAATAAGGGTCGTGTAATTTTAAAATATTAGAGGTAAAGTGTTCTCATCGCAAATTAAACCGCACAGCCTGTCAGACATTTTTATTACCCGCCTTCACCTTTGGAAGTGCAAGGAAATAAACTGTAGAATACCTACTTTATTTAGTAATAAATGTTGTAATAAAGTAATAGACTTAGATGATCTAGAATATTCAGAGTAATCAATCTTTTATTGATTAATTGGTAAATTTCTATTCAGCAGCTATCATAATGATACTTGTTAAGTTCAAGCGTAATGTCATCAGAGTTTACTCTACTAATAAAATATACGCGGAAGTTAAAACATATTAACTACTATAAAACCAGTTCTCCTTCATAGGTCAGAAAATTTTACTCTCAGTTAAAAAACAGTAAAGATGATTATATTATTGTGTTTGAAAATAAAATATTGAGAAAATTTGTGGTCCAACAGTGTGTAGACCAACGTATGAGGATGGACAATGGAGGTTGAATCACTATTGGAAACTGAGGTATTTGAAGACTCGGATATTTTAGTCGAGGTACAGAGTACAGTATAAGGATGAGATGGGCAGGGCAGTACATGTCAAGAGAAAAGAAAGTTTTAAAATAGTTGTTTAGCCTCCGGATTACTGTATTATACTTAAAATGGGTATAAGAAGTGATAAAAAGACAGAGTCATTGTCACAGACACTTTGACCACCAGTCTAGACTTTACCTCAGCCCGGTCACGATCGATTGTCAATGTCCCTTCGTGTTTTTTGTAATGTGTGTCTGTTCCGTGTATCGTGTTTTGTATATGTTTTATTTATTGAACTCTGTTAACGACCTTTGAATGAAGTGATCACTTGACACCTTGAGGCCTGAAGATGGTTCAAAACAAGAACCGAAACTAGTTGCCTAAATCAGCAACAAAGGATTACTATATGCAGGTATTGTAAACCATTTTAAGAAAAGAAAGGTTTCTTATCAAAGCCAGGAGGCAGAAGACCCTGGGAAGAACAAAGCTGAGGTCTTTGGACCAAGTGGAACAGGAGACTGGAAAGAAAAACTATTAAGAGACAATAGATAGAGATGAATGGAGGCATCAAAATGGGGTACAACACCTAAGGTGCCTGTCGTCATAGCAGTTAGTTGTCAAATTGTAAAAAAATAGTTGTGCATTAAAAAAATAAATTGGCATCAACCTCTTTGTAGCTAAATATTACACTTTCCTGGCTCCCTCTTCATTAGGGTTACTCCGTACCCCCAGCCCCACCCATAAAAAGAGATGGACACCCATGCTTATAGTTATTGTAAGGCAACACAGACTCCAGACTGGTAAGGACTGCAAAATGTTAACATATTGCTAATGCGGTTCTAGAATGTATTTGAAGTTTCCAGAAAAAAATAACCAAAATGTGCCTTACTTGAAATAAGTGATTATTGTATTTTTTAATTAGATTAAAAATAGCTCTATTGATTTTTCCTCATCCAATGTAAAAAATCTTCTTAGGAAAAACAAATTTCAAAATAAAAAAGATTTTACAGTAAGTCATGAATTAGAATTTTATTTATATGTTATGTTATATCTTTGACTATAAAAGTCAATGGTTATATGCAATTATGTACATTAAAGTACAATGTGATTCTAGCCAAAGTGGTGTAAAGTAACTAGCCAAAACTAACCAAAAGTTCTCTTTACAATCAACGGGTTAAAACTAGTATACTCAACTAAGAGAAACTATGTAATGTTTATAAATGACTGCTTTAATGTTGTATTAAAGGACATGTATAAGTAATCATGTCGGTTACGGAATAAGGAAAATGTTAACAAAGGAGTTGTAACAGCCGTTCATTGTTAGCACTTTCCAAATATAGAGAGGAGATATGACTATCGAAATAAAATATTACCTTCAATTTCAAAAGAAGAAAAAGATAGAAAAATTCCTTTTAAAATTCTACTTTATGCACAGGTTAGTACCCCTCCTCCCTCCTCTTCAATCCTAGTTCAATCCTTTAATAGTTGACTAAATTAAACAATTTGAAACTTCCAATCCATCACAATGATCAATGAAACGCAAAACTGTTATGGTGATCAAACCAAAATCTTTCATGAGAAAAAATCTATAGTTTTTATATGTTTGATTGTGTACCAGACAAAGGACATTTAATTGTAGTTTTGCTGTGTAAGCTACAATAACAATAAACTTTTCAGCTTTATTGTGTAAAGTAAAACTCTGCTTTGATAACACATCCGCCCACAACCATGATAAGCACCAGCTTATTAAAACTAAAGAAACAAACATTAGCTTTACACTTGTGTTTGCACTAACTTTGATTCTGAGAGGAATGTACAGATATATTCTTTTACCAAGTAAACATTGTTTCAACAAGATTTCTTTACTTTCTGAAAGCCTTAAAATATGAAATTTTTAATGTTAAGTTGAAGATTGTGTAAAAATCTATAATTTATTCCTTACGTGCGTTTTTAACACTAGCTATCATTTCGCGTAAGAAAATTGATCAAATATTCTTTATTGCTTCAGACAATACAAAGATTGCATAGCATGCGTCAACATATACAAAATAAAAGAAAAGGGCACAATAAAACAAAATAAACCATGAAAATACAACATAACAAAAATATACAGCCAGAGTGTTATTTATTTTGTGTTGTCATGGTAAAACCAACTTCAGCCAATGCGTGTTTATCCCCTATGGTCCATAAACTCGTCCACCGAGTAGAACACGTTCGACACTAAGAAGCGAATATTCTAGTCACTTCTCATGGTATGTTTATCACTAATATCTACCTATAGTCGGTTCAACATAAATTGAAACATAATGTATACAGAAGCTAAAAGTGTGGCTTATTTTAAGTTTCATGTGAGGCAACTGTTCAAATCCGAGTAATAAGCTATTGAGGTGTTTTTACCCGAATGAAAAATCAACGAAGCATTTAAACAGCACATGAACGCATGACACATGATTTGTGTTGTATATAATTATAACTGGTCATTTTTAAAAATTTCAGAATGTGTTTTAATATTTTCCCATTTTTTCTTGATTCATCAAAATAAAGGTTTGTGCCTTCATATAACAATCTGATTCATGCACTCATGCACACAATTTGCTGGACATCATTCGAGCTGGACTAGCTAAAACCCTCTTGTCATCTTAGCTTTTTAATCTAATAAATAGAGGAGTAACGTTAGTAGAGATCTAGACAGATGTTTCACACGTTTATTAAGATGATTTTACAACTTACTACTTTTTTATCATTTATGTTTTAAAAGACGCTATAAATTCAACAAATCAACATGATGAGGAGCCAACAAAGCCTTATTTATTTAAGACTGATACACATCAGTTAGTTTAATGTGAGTTTAAATAAAATTGATAGACGTTAGTTTTTGGCCAACACAAAGGACACTATGGTTCAACGACTCCTATCTCATCATTTTAAGGATAACCTCCTCAACAACAGAAAATCCTGACAAAGGGTCTAGTAAATTTGAAGGATTATAGACTAGGTTTTGATGTCATTTTCCTTCTTCTCTATTGAAATGGATTCTACTATAGCTATAATATATATATTATGATATTTTTTCTCTATAAAAACAAAGTCACAAGAACAATTTAAGAAACATTGGTTATCACAAAAACAATGCTCTCTATTTTAAGTTAGCACTGATTCATTTGTCAAGTGTCAAGTTATCCCACACAGTTAAGCTCCCAATAGGCAATCATGTAAAATATAGGCTACTGCCATAGCCTTACAGTAAAAAATAATTTCTGTAACAACCGAGTTTAAATTAATTCCTCAATTTGTATGACATCTTTGACACAGTGCACACAAATATTTGAAATGTTTTTTTGGAAAATACAGAAATTTTGTCAATTTGTAACTTGATCAATCAGTTTATATCCTCTAGCCAACGGAATGTTGGTTAACAAACAGATTTCAATCAGTGAGGTTGACGCATAGTATGCTTTGACATTACAGTGAACAATGAGATTAGCCCATCAACTATCTTGACACGCAAATTCATCATATTGTAGGCCTACTCTTTTTATTTCTTCACGGACAAAATTACAAAATTGTATGTCAATTGAAGTGCAGTATTAAAAATAAAATCCAGGTGGAACATGAACAAGTGTGACCACGATTATCTAATGAAATAGTTGTGGTGCA